CATTAACTATCTTAATTAAATATTATTTTAATAATTGTCTTTGATTTTATTATACTCGTATATATATTATTTTATTTTGATATATAACTTTAAAAAATATTTTCTAAGATTAATAATGAAAAAAATATTTTTTAAATATATAATTAATTAATAAAAAATTTAACTAATAATTAAATATGAAATAAACTGTAAAGTGTTTTGAATTTGCGAAGAAGAAAAATGCTTATTTTTGTAGAAGAAGAGTGAATGTTGTAATATTTATATTTGTTAGAAGATATTTGTGTAAACGGTGTTTTGATAATAATATTTAATATTTTTAAAGGAAGAACGAAGAAGGGAAGATTAATGGAAATTTTTTTAAAAAAAAAAATAAAAGAGTAAAGTCCTTACTCTTTCTAATTTCTACTATTCCGATAGAATTCGTTCACATCTTATCCATATATCGTATCTTCACACCAAACATTCCCAGGTTTATCTCCATTCTCTTTCACAATCAAAGGGTTTTCTTTTGTTGAAACTTGAATGTTGAAACCGTGACCTGACCACAACTTCCACAATATGCTGAGAATTTTCCTAAACAGGTTATTCAAAAAATGAATGCTTTGATGTTTCAGCCCAATACAGCATCTTATGATCCACATTTGGTTCTCCCACAAATCAGGACATGCAAAAGCATGCGAGAATTGAAACAAGTCCACGCCTTTTTTATCAAAACAGAACAAACCCATGACATCACAATAGCTACAGAGATCCTCAGGCTCAGTGCCACTTCTGATTTTCGTGATATTGGGTATGCATTCTCGGTGTTCGACCACATGCCTGAACGAAATTGCTTTGCTTGGAACACTGTGATAAGGGCACTTGCTGAAACCCAGGATAGACACTTCGATGCCTTGTTGCTTTTCTATCAGATGGTGACTGAGGCAGCAGTGGAGCCTAACCAGTTCACTTTCCCGTCTGTGTTGAAGGCCTGCGCGGTAGCGGCCAGGTTGGAAGAAGGGAAGCAAGTTCATGGGTTGGTTGTTAAGTTTGGCTTGGTGGATGATGAGTTTGTTGTCACCAATTTGCTGAGGATGTATGTGATGTGTGGGAGTATGGAGGATGCTCATGTTTTCTTTTATAGGAATGTTGAGGGTGTTGATCGTGTGAGGAGGTTGGAGAGAGATGAGAGGAGGAAAGAGTTTAATGTGGTTCTATGCAATGTGATGGTTGATGGATATGTAAGACTTGGGAACCTTAAGGTTGCAAGGGAATTGTTTGATAGGATGGCTCAAAGGAGTGTGGTTTCTTGGAATGTGATGATTTCTGGCTATGCACAAAATGGGTTGTATATGGAGGCTATAGAGATGTTTCATAGGATGATGGAGAAGAAAGACGTGTTGCCTAACCGGGTTACTTTGGTCAGTGTGCTGCCTGCAATTTCGCGAATGGGAGCGCTTGAGTTGGGAAAATGGGTGCATTTGTATGCAGAAAAGAACAGGATTCGGATTGATGATGTACTCGGCTCAGCTCTGGTTGATATGTATGCCAAGTGTGGGAGCATTGAGAAGGCAATTCAGGTCTTTGGGAGGCTGCCTCAAAATAATGTTATAACATGGAATGCTATTATGGGTGGTCTTGCCATGCATGGTAAAGCCAATGATTTGTTTGATTATTTGTCAAGGATGGAAAAGTGTGGAATATCCCCTAGTGATGTTACTTACATAGCCATCTTGACTGCCTGTAGCCATGCAGGTTTGGTGGATGAAGGAAGAACATTTTTTAGTGACATGGTCAATAGGGTTGGATTAGAGCCTAAAATAGAACACTATGGATGCATGGTTGACCTCCTGGGTCGTGCCGGTTATCTAGAAGAAGCCGAAGAGCTTATATTGAGCATGCCAATGAAACCAGATGATGTCATATGGAAGGCCTTGCTTGGTTCTTGTAAGATGCATAAAAATATTGAAATTGGTAGGCGTGCTGCTGAGGTTTTAATGCAATTGGCTCCTCATGATAGTGGGGCATATGTGACTCTCTCAAACATGCATGCCTCGTCTGGGGATTGGGATGCAGTTGCTAAGGTGAGGTTGATGATGAAAGACATGGACATCAGAAAAGACCCTGGATGTAGTTGGATTGAGATTGGTGGTGTGATCCATGAATTCCTTGTTGAAGATGATTCCCATCCTAGAGCCAAAGACATACACTCAATGTTGAAGGAAATTTCAAACAAGTTGAGCTTGGAAGGTCATATGCCAGACACCACACAAGTGTTGCTCAAGATGGATGAGAAACATAAAGAAAGTGTGCTGCACTACCATAGTGAGAAGATTGCTGTTGCTTTTGGCTTAATTAGTACTCCTCCAATGACACCCCTTCAGATTGTGAAAAATTTGCGAATTTGTGAAGATTGTCATTCCTCAATGAAATTGATCTCAAAAATATATGAGCGTAAGATAGTTATTCGAGATAGGAAGCGCTTTCACCATTTTGAACATGGTTCATGTTCTTGTATGGACTACTGGTAGTTTTGTGGGTCCTTGGCAACAGTACTTCTATTATCCTAACTTAGACTAACTTTCTTTTGGTCTTTTATAAATAGAGCTTTGTATTAATAAATGTATACCGAACTCAAAGGGCATTTACTAATACATTGTTCCGTAAAGTCTGCCCCTTAATCTTCATGTAATTTGACAGAGAGGCCCTCTAAGGGCATATCTAATGGAAGCAACTCATTTGAGTTGCTTCATGCATTGAAAAATGAAAAAAGTGGTTCTCAGTGTTTTATGTCAGCATTAAGTAACTTAACACAAATTTACTCCAATAATAAGAAACTTTAAGAAATTCAACTTTTAGAATTTTTTTTCTAATCATTTATAAATTAAATTTAAATTTTTATTAAAAAGAATAATTGCACTACAATAAAAGAAAATAAATTATGAGAAAAAATACACAATAAGAAAATATTAAAAATAAAATAAAGTAATAGTAAATACATAAATATTATACGAAATTAATTTTCATCATTATTATTTTTGAAATGTTTCCAAATATGTTCAATAAGATCTGCTTGAAATATGGTAAGGAACGGAGTCCTCCAATGACAAGAAACCGGGACTTGAGTTGTTTTATGGAACAAGCAACTCTCATTGGAATTGTTCTAAGATCCTGTCTTATGCTTGAAGTTTCCAAAGTATGTGCTTGTTAATTGTCTTTCCATCAAGGAAATTATAAGGAGTAGCCCTGGAAACTGTCAATATTTGATACTCCTGAAATATAGTATAAAGGTAAAGAAATGGTATAAATCAATCATCTTCAAGTGGTATCTACATTGCTTTTTTAATATATATATATATATATATATATATATATATATATATGCTTGAATAGCCCATATTTGGTCGTTGACGACAGTGGTATTCATCGGTCAAGAACTTGAAAAAAATTTTACAACACAAGATCAACTTGACAAACCTGATAATCCAGCTGAACTAATTAAATTGGTTGATTTTTTCTCGATTTGAGTTAGACCCGAGCTAAACTAATTGAAATTCAATATTATTGTTTCTAGTATTAGATTTACACTTCTGAAATTCAAACTAATCTAAATAAAATATTATTTATTTATTTTTATTTTTATTATTTTTTATTGGTTAACAAAGTAAATATGTGACATTTGTAGTTGGACACTTAGCTGTATGTCAATGGATTTGGCCTCTATTGGACAAGTTGGTGAATGTTAAACACTTTGGTTTGTGGTGGATTTGTCTTACATTAGATAAAGTAGTATGGTTTAATTAATTATTCACATATTATTTTTTTATAATTTATGCTATTATTTAATTAGTGTAAGTCAATTACAATAAAATATGTAATTTTTCATTGCATACCTGATGAATTGAATCATCCCATTCAACATTGGATAGGTTTAGTTTGGGGCAAGGAAATTATAAACATTGAACAAATTAAATTTAATTAATTTGAATTTTATTTTTTCTTAAATTCAAACCAATATGACCTATGAACATCTCTAATTCCTAAGGTACCCAAAGTGAACTATTTTTAAATTATAGACAAAAAAAGGTTTACTCTTAAATTTGATAGAAAAAATAATTAACCCAAATTTTAGGATGTAAAAAGATATTTAAACCTAAATACAAAGGAGAAATGATAAATGTATAATAAATTGTATAACATTTTTTACAACTAAAAAATAGGGAAATTTAAAATGTAATAAATGATGTGATAGAAAGATAAATACCAAAAATGATGTTGTAGGTATATCATTTCCCAGTATAATTTTATTTCCTAATACATATCAAATTAAACAACTCTAATTTTCAAACGCCATTCATTATTTCAAATCTTGATTTTTGTAGAAACTTATTAAGGTACGGACACCTTAATAAGCATCTATAGAGGGTGATGATTTTTAGATACTCAAATAAATTAATGACCTTATTGAAAATATCAATTCTTACTTATCTCTCTTCTTATCATATATGCCATCAATTACATGAGTGGTTTATCCCTTATCTCTTAATATCTCTAAACATTTCTTTGGTTCCAAAATTTCTTCTCATCTATAAAATTATTATTTTTATACATTTTTTGTCCTTTCATGTTAGACACTTATTTTAGACTTACTAGTCTATTTTCATAATAATATTTTCAATTTTTTATTTATAATAATTATTTTTTATTAAAATATTCTTAATTAATTTACAATAAATATTATACATTAATAAGATAAATTATTCACTCCTATACGAATTGGAAAACATTTTAAATTCTCCAATAATTTTAAGTGTAATTTTGAAAATTATTGTAAAACTTTAACAAGTTTAATGTTTTTATCAAAACTAATTAAATTTAAGGGTTTAGGTTGTAAGGTGTAAGGTGTAATAAAATAACATCTTTCACATTCCAAATGCTTAAATAATAATAATAATAATAATATTATTATTATTATTATTATTATTATTTATTATTATTATTATTATTATTATTATTATATAGGCTTAGACGACGACGACATCATGAAAAATATAATAATTTTATATAAACTACTCACATATAACTATTATATTAAGGAAAATGTTGAATTTATATTTTTTTTAGAGTTCGAGTGGAACTGAAAAAAGAAGAGAAAATAATATATATGATAAATAATGTAATGAGAAATTTTCTGTAATGTTTTTATTTTATTTTATTTTTATTATAATTAGTTATAATTTGAGGAATTTATTCAAAGTCCGGACATGACCAAAGCTTTAACATAATTACTTTTCCACTAAATCAAACTCTATATCATTATTTGGTTACGTTATTTACTCATATATCTTTTATTATTATTAATGCAAAAAAGGTATTTTTACCTCTGTGATAGTTTCTTTTATATATATATATATATA